TAAAATGGGGATAACAGGACCTACCACAGGGTTGTTGTGAGGATTACGTAAAATAACGTGTAATGCTAACGTGTAATGCGTGTAATGCGCTTAGGGCAATGCCTGGCTCAGGAGGCAACTAATAAATACTGGCTTTTATGTTTTCAAAGAGATGCCTGCCTTGAAGAGGAACCAGGGACATTTGCTTACAGCTCTGGCCTTGAGTGGAAACCTACTCCGCCTAAAAGAAACTACACAGAAAAGGCAGTCTTCTTTCTCTCCAGCTTGTAGGGGGTCTGAACCAGGAGGCTTTTGGACTCCCCAGGGGCCGGTAGATAAAATTCAGGGGGTCTGTTAACTTGGATGGGAAAAAATATGCATCCTCATTTTCACTAGTTGAAATTGAGCATTTTCTTCAATTATGCTTGCAAAACCACACATCAACTATATCTGGCTATTGTCACCAATAAAAGCATTACAGCTTTTTCTTACATCACAGCGGAAATACCGACTTTCTGAGCTCTACCTTGAAATTATGGAAGTTACTGGGCCTGATGCTAGATACCGTGTTATTTAGTATGCTACTGAAGCAGCATATATTACTGGGGCGCCTGGGAGGCTCAGTCGGTTAAGCAACTGACTTCGGATCAGGTCATGATCTCACGGTTCCTGGGTTCGAGTCCCGAGTCGGGGTCTGGGGTGACAGCCAGCTCAGAGCCTGGAGCCTGTCTTCGGATTCTGTAACTCCCTCTCTCTCTAACCCTCCCCTGCTCACGCTGTCTCTATGTCTCTCTCAAAAATAAGTAAAACATTTTTTTAAAAAGCATATATTACTATGCTACATATTTGGGATCTTTTTATTTTGAAATTTGTTATTTTAAATTAATTGGGTTACTTTATGCATTTAAAATTCTTACTCTGAAGGGGCACTTGGCTGACTCAGTCAGAAGACCATGAGACTCTTGATGTCGGGTCATGAGTTTGAGCCCCTCGGTGGCTGCAGAGGGGGCTTAAACAAATAAAAATATATGTAACATTCTTACTCTGAGAAGAGCTCCATAGTCTTCCCTGATGAGGGTCAAAGCACAAAATAAGAACCCCTAACCTAAACCTTTTTGGCTAAGCCCATAATTCCCAAGCCGCTTTCTGTTCTTAATTTACTAAACAAGATCTTTGTTATAAAACCAGTATCTGAATTGGATTAACACAAGTCACTTATCCTTCCCTATATAAACTATAGATCAGCAGTCCAAACATGAACATAACAGCATCAGACAGGTTTCCTCACTCAGGACCCATAATGTGTGTCTTGTTTTCCCCAAGGGTACTTGAACTAGCTTTCCATCTTGACCGTAACATCAGGTCCATTTAACCAGCACTTACTAAACATGTAGGATGTACCACAATTGTGTCCAGGAAGGACACTGGAGGTCTGCCTTCAAAGATGCTTCCAGCCCAGGGAAAGAAATGAGGCATGGAAAGGAGAACTGCTGGACCTGAGGGCTGACCGGCCAGCTAGAAGACTGCTTGCTCTAACGGGGTGGGCAGAGGCCATGTGTACCACACTCACTTATGTGTACCAAGCACACTTGGGGCCCAGCGTCTATGACTAGGAAAAAAAAGGAAAAAAATCATGTGCCCTCCACCAGCTCAGAGAAGCTTAAACCATACAAACATAGGACATGTCTGTTCTTGTTAGCCTCAGCTGAGAAATCATGAAATGTTTTTTGGGAGTCTAATACTTCACTGACAAGATGACCAATGATGAGGTTTTGTTTTTAGCAAAAATCAAAATTTCCTGAGTTATGTCATCAGCCATAACACTAAACAGGCACCACCAAGCCCAACCTATAATTGCCATTAGTGGCCCAGTGGCTGCTGAGTACCAGCTGGCTTGCACTCCTAACTACGTTATATGGAACCCAATATAATAACTAAGTGGTTCAAGTTTAATTCCATTAAAATCACATCATGGAACTGGAGCATTAGGAAGGATTACTGACAAATGGGAAAAAGAAGATGAATCCAGGCTCCACAGGCATTTGACTCACCCTTGAGTCACATCCAGTACTCACCATGCCAAGACTAATGCCTTTTGACTCATTATCTATTAAAATAAATGTTTTTGGAGACCTCACACACAGGTGGTAGATTTCTCACCTAGTGCCCCTAAATGAAAATTAGAAAAACTGGAGTGCCTGGGTGGCTCAGTCTGTTAAGTGGCCAACTCCTGATTTCAGCTCAGGTCACGGTTTCACCATTCAGGAGTTCGAGCCTGGCATCAGGCTCTGCACTGACAGGGTGGAGCCTGCTTGGGATTCTCTCTCCGTGTCTCTCTCTGCCCTCCCCCATTCATTCTCTCTCTCTCTCTCTCTGAAAAATAGACATAAAAATTATGAAAATTAGAAGAACTTATAAGATCGTACTTTAGCCAAATCCCCCTTTATTTTCCAAGTGTATACACCTACTGACAGCAAGGGTGACAGGTCTCCCCCCCAAATCAAGTGATGAGGGAATACAATAAGAATCAGAGTTTTCCTACTCCCAGAACACTTTTGTAGGGACTCAAGAATTAACAAAGATGCATACACACACACTTCCCTCCTTAGTATTATTTCTTCTTAGAATGTTCTTCAGCTTGCCATCAAAACTTTCTCATCTTTAGGGCGCCTGGGTGGCTCAATCGTTTTTAGTGTCTGACTCTTGATCTCAGCTCAGTTCATGATCTCACGGATCGTTGAGTTCAAGTCCTGCATTGAGGCCTTGCTGCGTCAGGCCCTGCGGCTAACAGCCAGAGCTTGCTTGGGATTCTCTCTCTCCCTCTCTCTGCTCCTATCCTGTTTGAGCACATACACATATGAGCTCTCTCTCAAAACAAACCTAAAAAAAAAATTTTTTTTCATTTTTAAGATCAACAGGCTGAAAATTAAGGATAATTGCGTGCGATTTTTTTTTTAATTTTACTTTCTCCTCCAACAACTAAATTATTTAGATGCCACTTCCACACCTTGCCAGCTCAGAACCTGCCAGTTTCTCCTGCTCCCTTCTAAACTGTGCTATGTGACTATGGCTCTCTCCCTCTCTAGCCAGTATCAGCCCCAAGTGTTAAAGTTCTCTTGACTGGGGCGCCTGGCTGGCTAAGTCAGAGCATGTGACTCTTAATCTCAGGGTCGTGAGTTCAAACTACATGTTGGGCGTGGAGTCAATATAAAAAAAACTAATAAAATAATAAATTTCTCTTCCATTTTCTTCATAAGGTGACGGTTTCCCCCCATTTTCACAACAGAACACAAATGCCCATTGTGACCCACCATTTCGACAGAGAACACTTGAATTCAGCTGAAAGCTGTTTAAGGCTTAGGGGACGGACACAGAGAATGCCAGAATGGTCCAGGCTCCTCCTGAGATTACTGTTCTTAGAGTCTAGAAAACCCATGCTCAGTAAGTACAGGTGAGTGTTCACACATGCTTACTGCCCAGGACACTTCCTAGACTCACCTGTTAGCAGCTGGGTGACTCCTGAACCACTATTTCTTCCTCAGGCCTCGCGCTCATCTCTAAACTGAGTATGGAAGAACCTTCCCTAACCACTAACCCCTAAAGTTGGCAGGCACCCCACACTAGCTGCATGCCCCAATCACCATGTTATCTCCTGATTCTCAGTCATCTCCCTTCTTGCTACCCTCAACTAAGAAATGTGGGAACTAAAAAATGCTTTGTTTTCTCCAAGTCACTTCCCAACCACCCGAATACAATGACATTACTTAACAACCCTGTAGTGTTTTACAGAAACTCCCTTAACATTAAGCCCTATATAGCGTGCACCGTCCTCCTCTACCCTTTTTTTTTTTTTTTTTTACCACCGGGAAGAGAAAACTCAGGCTGAGACATAAGGCCAAAGTCACATGGAAAGCCCATCAAGCAAGATGCAAACCTAGGTCTTGCTTCAAATCCTCAGTCTTTTTTTTTTTTTTTTAATTAAATCTTTGCAGTCTTCAAGCTGGGAGGGGGATAAAATGCAAAGTTAGTGTTCTGAATTTCAAGAAAAGAAAAATCGAGAAAGTCAAGGTTTTAAGTGGGAACGGAAAAGGTTGCTCCATCCAATTCGAGGGAAACGGTGAAAAGGCGAGATATAAATGAGTAGCTCCAAATGGAATGTACGGGAAGCCCTGATTCCAGTCTGCAGTGCCTAAAGGTTTAAAAGCCACCAGAAGAAAGGCTGGCAGTCCTACCCCTCCCCCCCACCCCCACATTAGAAGCACCTAGAGAAAAACATGCAAAATACTCTTCCCCTTCCTAATTCCTGCACACGGCCCCAACTTTCCAGCCTTCTGTTCAGGCCGGCTCTGTTTTCTGAGCCTCCTCGATTCGGGGAGTTATAATTCCCGCGCCCAGATCTCGCCGCCCCCCCCCCCGGAAGAATCATCGTTTCCTTTCCCGTCCCCCACCCCGCCCCGTCTGTTTCCGCGGGACCCGTCTCCTACGCAGTCTGCTAAGAATTCTGCAAGCGCGGCGCGGCTCCCACGAGGGGAGCCCGCGCCCCGGGGTGGAGAGAATTTACCCGCCTCTGAGAACAGGAAAAGGTCACGCGGGCGGCCCCGCGCGTCGCACGCCTCCCGCCCCTGCACCCCCGCCTCAACGGGGGCCCGCGGACGTGGGGGTTTTCCTCCCGAGCCGCGCGGCTCGAAGGGGACCCTCGCAGGGGCGGCCACGCCCGCGTGAGGCACGGGTGGGCGACCCAGGCCTCAAAGGGCGGCGCCGCCGGCGGAGGGGTGCGGGGAAGCGGCCCCTCCGGGCCCCACACTGCGGCGGCGACCGAGCGCGGCGCGAGCCGGAGCGCGGCCTCCGCCGGGCTGCCGGTCCACGCGGCCCCTCGGCGCGGCAGCGGGAGAGACCCCGGGGCCGCGCGGGCAGTCCGCATTGTTCGGCCGGCGGCGCGCGCCCCGCCCGGTCCCCGCTGGCCCTGGCCCGGCGGGGGCGGCCGCGCCGGGGCCGGGCAGGTGGCGGCCGCGCGCCCTCACCTTTGGCTCCGAGCATGAAGTCGAGCGTGCTGTGCCGTGCTGCTGCCATAGTGAGGCGAGGCCCTGTGCCATGCCTGGGGGAGGCGGCCACGGGAGACTGGGGGGCCGTGCGGCGTGTCAGCCTGCGGCCGGCGGGGAGTGCGCCGCGCCGGGGAGGCAGAGGGTAGGAGGTGGGAGGGACCGCCGGGAGCGATCCGGGGCGCGGGGGCGGGGTCGGGCCCGCCTCCGGGAGGGAGGAAGCAAGGACGCCCGCAGCCCCGAACTTAGAGCGCAGGGTGTGGGGCCTCGCTAATGTAATGGTGGAAACGTGGGCGCCGTGCTCCCCGGCGTGCGTCACCAATGGCCGCTCCCGCGCCGAAGATCAGGCGGGCGCTCCCGCCATCCGTTAGGTCACCTTAGGTTTGAACAGCGCAGCACGACTTCCGGGGGGCCCACCCTCTACACTTCCCCCACACCATCCCCCAAGCCAGGGCCCCTCTTATTTCCTGGCCAAGTCCAGAGAATCAAACGCTAATATCCACCCTGTAGTCTAAAAGTACTGCCACCTTTTCCTTAACTCCTCAAATATTACAGTTAATGCCATTAGAATTATTGCCATTATTATTAGCAAGAGTCGGTTTGCATTGCAGAACCAAAGAGAAATCTCTTGGGTATTTAAGTCACCTACATCTGCGTGAAAAATGAGAATGGTGGAGAAGCAAGTCGGAGGATAAGGCTGTTAATGTTGATTTCGGAAATTACAGATTTCACTTGCTCCCCCATTACGGAGGCCTCTGTTCGAGGCAGTGAACCTTTCCGCTGTGGGCTTGTCTTTGACTTGGGGCTTATGGCTGGTATTCAACACGATGTGGCAAAGGAGAGAACATCAGTTTCTGCACAGTAAAGCCCTCCTTTATTCCACTGACATTATCACTAGGCAAATGACTCCATCATCCCATCAGTCTTCTGGGCGTCCGGAAGCTCCACAGGAATTGCTGTAAAAGCTGAACAGTTTAAATCAATGAACTCTTGTGCCCCCATAAAAGCAGGAAGAACCTTAGTATTAAACTCCCCTCTCCCACAAGCAGTCCCTAGTGGCTATTTTCCTGAGTCCTTCACCTTTCTACATGGAACTAGGCAATGTCTTCACAAGTGTTCTTTACAAACTATCCTATTAAGAACTGTACCTCCTTTTTACTGCTTGCATTTACCTTTTCCCACCTTCAGCCACCTCTGCTGCTCCGCTGGTGTTCCTTCCTTCTGGGATCCCAGGTTCTCAATTTCACGAGCTATTCTGTTATCTCAGCCTTCAGTCTCTACACCTTAGTCTGCAGCTCCTGCTTTCATCCTGGGATATTCTCCAGTTCTTGCCACTCCTCTGGAGTCAGGTCAGAGGACACAGTTGTCCCTTGTCATATTGCCAGGACAGTAGGACTCCAAAGGTCTCCAGTGGGACACCTGCCACTCAGTGGCAGGGTGGGCCTCCAAGGCATGTAACCTATGTATTGGCACAGGGCCTCCTGCTTGGAAGGGCCCTGCACTTGGTTTCTCTCCTCTCACTTGTTTGAAATTCTTAATAATTTTGCACCGAGCCTGCAAATTATGTAGCCAGTTCTGCCAACAGCTTGCGTCCTGCAGTGCAGGCAGCAGTGGCCAGTTAAGTGCCTCATCTTGCTTGTGCAAGGTGTGAAATAGACAGAAATGAAATTCCTTAAGTTGCTTTGCCATTAGCTCATCCAATAGCTGTAACAAAAGTGGAGTTTAACAACGCTTCATGACGTTAGCACAACATCAGAGATAAATGGGCTTTGAAAAGGAGCCGACCTTGTCGAGGTAATTTTAGGGGTTATGGTAAAGATGTTCACAATGTACTGTATTACCTACCAATGACAGAATCCTGGCAACATTGTTAAAGGTAGGTCATGGACAGGAACCAAAGTCTTGAGGCCACTTTAAACATCCCCAACTGGGCTGTGAGTACCTATTTGGATTGCAGAATGTGTTCTCATTGTCTGGGTTTTATAAGCCAGGCCCCTGGCTTGGAGGCCAGGATGAATCCTGTCACAGGATAAATAATCATTTTGTTTGTGGGAATTGTGTGTGTTACAGCTGACCAGTGTATCCTGAGCAGCTTTTGTCACACCCAATAATTCAGCAACATATCCTGCAACAGAAAAGCAAAAGAAATTTACCAAGCTACTGCCTGCACCCTTTTTTTTAATGTTTATTTATTTATTTTTGAGAGAGAGACAGAGTGTGCACATGTACGAGTGGGGGAGGGGCAGAGAGAGAGGGAAAGAGAGAATCCCAAGCAGGCTCCAAGCCACCAGCGTAGAGCCTCACAGAGCTCCAACTTGAGAACCACAAGACCATGACCTGAGCTGAAATCAAGAGTCGGTGGCTTAACTGACTAAGCCACCCAGGCGCCTCACTGCCTGCACTCTTGAAACAACCTCCTAATCAACAAAATCCTGGCAATGGTGAAAATGTGGCTATCAGGGATTCCTATCCTCTGGCCTGACCTTGTCTGCTCTTGGCTGAAAGTGAAGCCAGACAGAGAAAAACAGCCCCTGCCATCTGGGAACTGGCCGGGGCCGTCTTCCGTTGTACATAAATAATTCCCCAGAACACCACCATCAGACAAGGCCACTCTGTGACCAGGATGGGACAAGACAAAAACAAGAGCGCTCTAATCCTGTCTGAACACAGAGAACAAGTGAACCTTGTCCAAACCACAAAAGTCTCCACACATCCCCGAACCCTGGCCGATATGAGCGACTGCTGCTCCTTTACCAATCACAGCCTTTCTCTGGCCTTCCCTGCTTCCCGATCAGAGTTATGAAGACCCCCCTACCATGGAAACTCCTCGCTTCCAGCCAGCATCCCATCCAGAGAACACCTGGCTTCCTTACCCGCTCCCCTAAAGCCCCTGCCACAGGCCCAGTCCTACGCGGGGTCCTGTCCAGCACGCCCCCCCCCCGCCCCCATGGTGCGTGCTGTCTGTCGCTGCCAGGAGAGGAGAACTGCTAATTCCACTCCAGGGATGTTCCTGTGGGCAAGAGATGGCTGGAGGGTAGTAACAATAGTGAAAATAACATGAATGAAGTCTGTACTTAGAGTGAAAAACACATAAGTGATCCTCTTAACAAAATGCTACTTGTGTTAGGTATTACTCTGATCCAAAACTTGCCTTCACATGAGCCCACCTGCTTCTTTGCAGTCAGGCCAACTTGGACGTCCACAACAGAGCTTTTAGAAACTCAGAGTCACACTGGCTGGCCAGCTCTGTAGCAGTAACCACCTAGTGGGAAGAAGGAAGTCGAGAATGGAAAAAGACTCAGGGTGCCGGGGTGGCTCAGTCAGTTGAATGTCCCAACTCTTGATTTCGGCTCAGGTCATGATCCCAGGGTCATGGGATCAAGGCCTGTGTCAGGCTCCACACTGAGCATGGGGTGGAGCCTGCTCGGGATTCTGTCCTCTCTCCCTCTGCCCCCTCCCCCACTCGTGCACACATGCATATGCTCTCTCTCTCTCCCTCTCTTTCTGAAATAAAAAAAAAAATTAAAGAAAATGGAAAAAGACTCTCTGTTGAAGAGGGGAAGGTGATGACTGTGGCAGGGAAATAGGGTGCTAACTGGAAACTTCCCAGGCTGTAAGAATTCAGAGGCCAACAAACCCTCCTTGTGAAGGGAGGTGGGGGGCGGGGTGGGGTGGGGACCAGCAGCCCTTAGCAGCTGCACCTGCCATTAAAGCCAGTACCCTTTTGTTTTACTGCTTTATTTTTTCTGTTTTCAGCAGTTCACTTGAGACCCTTAGAGACACTCTGCCTCCCTACCCTCTGTGTGCAGCTGTGGTGAAATCACTTCCGCTCTTAAAAAAACAAAAACAACAAAAAAAAAAAAAACAAAGAAAAAACAAAACTCTGGCTTTAGCTTTTAGAGTTGAAATGGCTGACAGAAAGCTGTATCACTCCCCCACCATTTTTCAGATAAATGTGGGTCTGGCCCAGTAAGTTATACTTTTTTTTTTTAATGTTTTATTTATTTCTGAGAGAAAGAGAGACAGCATGAGCAGGAGAGGGCCACAGACAGAGGGAGATACAGAATCTGAAACAGCCTCCAGGCTCTGAGCTGGCTGTCATTACAGAGCCCGACACGGGGCTCAAACCCACGAACCGTGTGATCATGACCTGAGCCGAAGTCGGACGCTTAACCAACTGAGCCACCCAGGCTCCCCTGGCCTAATAAGTTAAATGTGATTTAAATTCCTGATTAAAAAGACCATAACTGAGACGGGTTTGGAATCTTTGATACAGTGATTCTCAACTTTGCCTGCATACTGGAATCACCTCAGGAGTGTTAAAACGTGCTGCTGCCTGGGCCCTGACAGAGGGGCCACCCAAACATGGGGATTGTTACACAAATAAAAACCCAGCAGACTCCAACATAAAAGTAAGTGTGCTGCTGCAAAACCGAAAAGCAGTGTGAACCACAATAGATACAGCTACACACCCACAAGGATAGCTATGATATAAGTGAATATATTGTGAAAGCCAGAAAGTAACAAGTGTCAGCAAGGCCGTGGAGAAATTGCTGGTGGAAATGTAAAATGGTGTGGCCACTCTGGAAAACAGTTCGGTGAGTCCTTAAAAACTTAAAGGTACAGTTACCCTATGATCCAGCCACTCCACTCTTGGATATGTACCCAAATGAATCAAAAACAAATGTTCAAACAAAAACTTGTACACAATAGTACACTTGTTTTTTTTTTTAATTTTTTAATGTTTTATTTATTTCTGAGAGAGAGAGAGAGAGAGACAGCATGAGCAGGGGAGGGTCAGAGAGACAGGGAGACACAGAATCCGAAGCAGGCTCCAGGCTCTGAGCTGGCTGTCAGCACAGAGCCCGACACGGGGCTCGAACCCACAAACTGCGAGATCATGACCTGAGCCGAAGTCGGACGCTTAACCGACTGAGTCATCCAGGCACCCCACACAATTGTACACTTGTACACAATGGTTGCCAAAAGGCAGAAACAACTAAATTGCCATTGATAAATGAGTGGATAAACAAAATATTCAGCAAGAGAAAGGAATGAAAGACTGATACATGCTACAATATAGGTGAACTTCAAAAACATCATGCTAAGTGCAAGATGCCAGACAAAAGAACAAATAGTGTATGACACCACTTGAAATGTCCAGAACAGGCAACTCCATAGAGACAGAAATGAGGTTAATGGTTGGGGGGGAGGTGTGACTGATTAATGGGTATGGGGTTTTTTTCTGGGGGTAATGACAATGTCTTGGAATTAGATACAGCTGGTGGTTGCCCAACATTGTAACTGTACTAAGTGCCAGTGAGTTTTTCACTGTAAAATAGCTAATTCTGTTATATAAATTTTATCTCAATTAAAAAAAGAGAGATAAATGACCCAAACTGCAGTCAGAAGCTTAACCAACTGAACCACCCAGGTGCCCCTAAGTTGGTTTTTTTTAAGGACATCATGCTTGACACCCCAAAGGAACCCAAGCAGAGAGTAGGTTCCCTGGGTTCAGATGTTGGGGAGATGAGGATGACAAGCCAACCAGTGCGATTTCCCCATTCTGTTCCCATCATGTGACTCAGATTCCCAACTCCCAGAGTGTCAGGCGGTTCACAGCCTGTTCAGAAGCCCCGAGACGTTTGTTGGTAGAACTCTGGATAATTATTTAAGACAAGAAAATAACAAAACGGGTTTTCCTCAAGACAGTCATAATCCTCATTTGTGTCCCTGTTGACTCTTTTAGACCTAGCATGTAGGCCACAAAGACATGGAGAGTCAGTTCCTGCTATTAACCTGTAGCCGCTGTGTTTACCCCTGCAGACTCACAAACACCCCAGAGCATTCCTCCAGTTTGACAAAGCCTGACTTAGAAGGAAAACTGGCAACCTGACCCTGTCATACAACCCGAGAAGATACATCAAGCCGGACTTTTAGAAAAATGTTTATTCAGTTTGAGGGAGAGTGCACACGAATCAGGAGGGACAGAGAGAGGGAGAGAGAGAATCCCAAGCGGGCTCCATCCCACGACCACGAGATTACAACCTGAGCAGATCTCAAGAGTCAGAGGCTTAACCCACTGAGCCACCCAGGCACCCTGGGCCAGACTTTTTAAGAGAACTTCTACTTGACACAAAGCCCCGACATAAAATGCTGTCCAGCCTACTCCATTTCCTCCCTCCCTCTCACTTCCAGCAACGAATGGCACATTAGCGGGAGGGGAGACTTAATTATTGCAATGCATTACCTAAGCACCTATGCCCAAATAATGACATAATCAAAAGTGTTACCAAAGAAAATAATGGAGTGTATTTGGGTCCAAAAGTAACACCTGGTTTCTAGTCTGAATGCAGCATTTAAGTACAGCTGTACTTAAATATGTGACTAAATTCTCAATATCAGTGCTAGTTAACTAGCACTGTATTTTTCTGTAAGAATGATTCCTTACTTCCTTAGTCTCTAGAGAGACAGTTCACAGAATGATTAGGATCAGGGCCTTTGTCAGCCAGCCTGGATCCTAATCCTGATTTTTCTATTTGCTTGCAGGCAACCTTTGGCAAATGATCTCATCTTTCTGCATCTGTTTCTTCATCTCTGAAGGGAGTATCATAATAGCACCTCCTTCACACAATCATGCTGAGGATCAGGTGAATTAATGGAAGCATAGCACTTAGCACAGTGTCTAGTGTGTAAAAAGCCCGATAGAAGGATTAATTATGAATTACTAATGAGTTAAGACTTATATTTAACTAGTGGTTTCCTTTGCCCCAGTTCACATGGTGAGTACCTGGTGCTTATAGAGCAACTCCCATTTCAGTTGCCATTCCCCTATGGCAAAAGCTAAAAGATTTCTAAAGCCCACAGAAGGTCCACTTATCTTAAAATGTATTTGATACAACTCAACACTCAGAGGTAGTCCCAGAGGCTGATTGCGCTGGGATTGGCTTGGAGCTGCCATTTTGCCACATGGCAACACTTTGCCCTTTCACTTACCGACCCCTTGGTCTTTGTCCTTACCTGAAACACCTCCTTTGACCAGTGGAAAGACCCACACGTGATCATTCATGGCTCAGATCAAGTGTCAGCCACAGCCCGCTCACTTGCTCAGCTGTGTTCCCACAGGGTGGCATCAGCTCTTGTACTTGACCTCTGTTTCTCTCCAACCAACACTCCTTCATTATTTGGACTAAAATCCAGGAAGTTTGAGTGACCAGCCATGGTCAGGTGCTTGTTGGTGAACCAGGCACCAGGCACTTGGATCCTGGTGCCCCAGTTTCCAATCCAGGGCTCTTTTCTTTAAACTATATTGCTCTTATGTCAATTTCCATTATTGAATGCTGTCCACTATGGGCCACAGTATTTGTAAAGTATGTCATTTCTAATCCTTCCAATCTAGCAAAATCTATTCCCCATTTAAAGACATAGACACTGAGGCCAAGTGACCTGCTCAAGGCCACGTGTCAGTCTGTGGCAGAGTGACGTTTGGAACGTGGGTCAGTCTGACCATAAAATAAGGAGAATTTCTGTTTTTTTTTTTAAGTTTATTTATTTATTTTGAGGGAGAGAGAAGGAGGGTGGGGCAGAGACAGAGAGGGAAAGAGAGAGAGGGAGAGAGGGAGAGAGAGCGAGAGAGAATCCCAAGCAGCTGCTGCAATGTCAGCGCAGAGCCCGATGTGGGGCTTGAACTTATGAACTGTGAGATCATGACCTGAGCCAAAACCAAGAGTTGGACCCTTAACTGACTGAGCCACCAAAGCGCCACAAGTCAGGAGAATTTCTAGTCTATCATGCTGCCACTCAGTACTGGAAATAAAGGCAGATAAAAGCACTGAGTGGTTCATTTAAAATATACTCATTCTACATGCAGACGACTGTTGTTTAAAGGAAGGGGTAGAAGAAAAAGAGAGATTACATTTTGGCATGCAAAGGCAAAATAATAAATATTCTTTTTCCGGTTCCTGGATCCCATTGCAGCTTCTTGAAAGCAAGTGAATTTATGCATGTTGACACAGCTCTGATTTTAAAATCTTCTTTGGAAAAAGAAAAAAAAAATCTTCTTTGGCTCCATTTTCGGCTTCTTCCCCTTGGCACAACCAGTCCCACGACCCCCCTCTGTCAGGCTCTGAGAATCTGCCTAAAATTGTTACATAGCAGTTACTCTTAAGATGCACATCGCAGATGATAATTCACTCCTCCCCACTAAGCCCATACGTTTTTCTGGTTGTATATGTATTGCCTGGCATTATCACCATGTTAAATCATAAAAGTCTTGCACACTAAGGATATATGGATGTTACCATTTTCCAAATATGCTCATTGTGTCAGGAAGTTTTTTCTTAGTCTTTTTTTTTTTAATATTTTTTAATTTATTTCTAGGAGAGAGAGAGAGAGAGAGAGAGAGACAGCGTGAGCAGGGGAGGGTCAGAGAGAGAGGGAGACAGAATCTGAAGCAGGTTCCAGGCTCTGAGCTGTCAGCACGGAGCCCAAAGCGGGGCTTCAACTCACAGATCGTGAGATCATGACCTGAGCCGAAGTTGGACACTTAACCAACTAAATCACCCAGGCCCTTCAACACATATTATTTTATTTTTTAATATTTTTTAATTTATTTCTAGGAGAGAGAGAGAGAGAGAGAGACAGCGTGAGCAGGGGAGGGTCAGAGAGAGAGGGAGATATAGACTCTGAAATTGGCTCCAGGCTCTGAGCTGGCAGTCAGCACAGAGCCCGACGCGGGGCTCGAACCCACGAACCGCGAGATCATGACCTAAGCAAAAGTCGGACGCTTAACCAACTAAGCCACCCAGGTGCCCCAGTTTTTTCTTAGTCTTAACTTGCATATTCTCAAAATTATTTACAAATATATAGTTTTCTCATTGTCATCTGAAACAGACTTGGTTTCAATCTAAGTATACCAGTTGACATTAAAACCCCACAACTGAACATTAACACATATTTAAAAAAAATTTTTTTTTACTGTTTATTCACTCTTGAGTGACAGAGAGAAACAGAGCATGAGCAGGGGAGGGGCAGAGAGAGAGGGAGACAGAATCTGAAGCAGGTTCCAGGCTCTGAGCTGGCTGTCAGCACAGAGCCCGACGCGGGGCTCGAACCCACAAACCGCGAGATCATGACCTAAGCGAAAGTCGGACGCTTAACCGACTAAGCCACCCAGGTGCCCCCAACACATATTATTTTAAACACGTTTCCTTTAAAAACACCAGTTTATTGCATTTTGGTTATTTGCAATTAATCAGAAATAGAAACTTCACATTATTATGCATGTGCAAAATGGAAAATTATGCTGCAATGCAAGATATCTGCCAGATGGAAAGAATAAAGCTAAAAGAACATCCTGCTGTTGTTACAAAGTAAAGATAAGATTGTTGATTGGGCCAAACTGACCTCACGTGGCTCCTGCTTCAGAATACTAAGAAGGACCCAGCATCTCTTCTGAGGTCTTCTTGCCAAAAAAATGCACAACGTTCCTCTAATCATGAAGAAACATCAGACCAACTCCAACTAAGGGACCTTCCACAAAATGAATTGCCTATGTTCTTCAAAAAATGTCAAGGTCAAGAAATACAAAGAAAAGCTGAGGAACTGTTCCAGATGAAAAGAAACTAAGAAGCTATGACTACTAAATCACAATGTGTGATTCTGGATTGGATCCTGCAGCTGGAAAGAAAAATAGCCATCGGAGACATTATCGGAACAACTGACAAAAGTGGACCGAGGACTGTGGATTAAACAATAGCTTTGTAGCAATGTTCAATTTCCTCACTTTGATCAGTGCACTGAGGTTGCATAACAGAACGTCCTTGTTTTTGGGAATTACACCCTGAAGCCTTTTGGGTAAAGGGGCATAATGTCTCTGACTAACTCTTGGTTTGGAAAGAAATTATATATGCATGTATAGATATGTGAATGCATCTATATATGCAGAGAAAGAGAGAGACGATAAAGCAAATGGGATAAAGTGTCCATGATGGTTGAAACTGGGTAAAGAGAAGAGCTCCCTCTACTCTTTCTGCAACTTTTCTGTTAAAATTATTACCAAAATAAAGTGATCAAAACAGTGACTGCACAGAAAACAGAAGAATGTTAAAAAGAAGGACAAAACCCCCAAATGCTCCTGAGGCGTCTATGACACAGCAGTGTCTAAGATATGCTTGAATCTCTTGGGAACAGGCAGGCTTGACTTAAGGGAAACAGTCTGCCTTTTCAAGTGCAGGGGTGAGGATAACAGGAAGGTCTCCTTTTTGATACTTTCAGCCCATTGCTCACAGATTTAATAAAAATCCCCAATAGGTCCATGCCTTATCCAGTCACTCTACCAGGCCTCCAGGTCCCAGCTCACCTTCACTGCCAAGTTTGACACCTGTATGACCTCAGTTCAATGCCTGCCTCATCTTGGGTGGAGTTGGGCTTCTGGGTGGAAGATTTCAGCCAACGCCCTGTGTCAGTTCCTTGATCTCAGCTCCAGTAATTGTGAATACCTGGAGCGGGGCGGGGGAGGAGGCAGTGTCACATACAGGCCAAGGGCCACGCAAAATATGTGTGCTGTGCCTATTCTTTGATCACATCAGGACCTTCAGTCCCTGGACCACCCTATTTCCTCCTCCCTCTCTCACTCACCTCCTTTCCATGTTCTCTCTGTGGTTGGTCCTGGCACCATCAAGCCCTCCAGCCCCAGTACTCTGTCCCTGCACACTCGTAACACAACCCTGGATCAATCCAGCTTCTTGCCTCTGCCTGTCCCTCCCACCTGTTGCTCAGTATAATGAGGAAAGCCTCACATTGGTGCTGACTGGTACCCAAACACACCTGTGTGTAGTGTGTGTAAGTGTGTGCACGTGTGTGTGTGTACGTATTCTTTTTTTCCCCCAACATGCCTGGGCTTTCGCTACATTTGGCAATCTTTGTTCACTTTTTCTGCTTCTTTTATTACTTGATCTTTCTTTGTTATTTTACATCTTTGAAAACTTTTTCCTGTGGCTGCCAGGACATCTCTGTCTTTGGGTTTCTGCTAACTTCTTTGACTTCAAAACTGCATCTTTCCAAGCTAAATAAATTCATCAATTTGTGTCAACTCAGTATTAGTTTCAAAGGGGTATTGTGCTATTTGAAAACCAATGCTAAATTTATCAATATAAACAAAGCATTCTTTATTTTTTTAGTTTTTACAGCCAATTTACATAACGCTATTATATTAAAATCTTCTGCATATTGATTCATGTTAGAATAATGTATGAAATTATTATTATTGGTTTGAATCATGAAAAGTGCCAATTTTAACAAAAAATCTTTTTTTTTATTATTATTTTTATTTATTTCTAGGAGAGAGAGAGAGACAGCGTGAGCAGGGGAGGGTCAGAGAGAGAGGGAGACACAGACTCTGAAACAGGCTCCAGGCTCTGAGCTGGCAGTCAGCACAGAGCCTGACACGGGGCTCGAATCCACGAACCGCGAGATCTTGACCCAAGCGAAAGTCGGACGCTTAACTGACTAAGCCACCCAGGCGCCCCAGTTCTTAACAAAAATTCTTATACCTGTCTAGTTAAATCCCAAAGAAGCTTTTCCTTTCCTTGGAGCTTCAAATTTATCTTGTTCATATGCATTGTAATATCTATGGGAAGACATGTAAATCATATTGCCATTTTTTATTAATGAATATTTAGCAAGCATTCTTTTTGTTTCAAGAAAATTTTGATTGGGGCACCTGGATGGCTCAGTCGGTTGAGCATCTAACTTCAGCTCAGGTCATGATTTCACGGTCTGTGAGTTTGAACCCCGTGTCGGGCTCTGTGCTAACAGCTGGGAGCCTGGAGCCTGCTTTGGATTCTCTGTCTCCCTCTCTCTCTGCCCCTCCCATGCTTATGCTCTGCCTCTCTCTGTCTCAAAAATAAACATTAAAAACTTCTTTAAAAAAAAAAGAAAACCTTGACTTGCAGTCAACAGCACAATACAACTTTGTAAAACTCACTGTGGCTCAACCAACGAGCACTGGCAACAAACACAAGATCATTAAAATTGTTGCTTCTTTCAACAGTTCTGTAACCACTGGTGATGAGTCAAAGCATTTACACATATATCTGAACAGTTTTAACAACTGTATCCATGACGCTTTTCATAGAGGCTGTTTCAGAGAACTGAGCAATCTAAAACTGGTTTTTTGTTTGTTTGTTTGTTTGTTTTTTTGCACAAAAAATCCAAGCCATTATCAAGCTGGTCAAAGTTTCAAGTTCAGAACTTGTTATCATTTTTTAAAAACAATTTTCACTGGATGTTCAATTCTCAATGCAAGCAACTAATTTCATTGATTCTTTCTTGACTATTCTTATCAAATTCACTCTGTATTTGCCAAAAATGTCCCTTATTATTGTCCACTTTAGTATCTTTATTCAGCTTTATTCAAACAAGAAAGCAACAAATAGCTTTTCTGTTTTGGTCTGCTACAGCAAATTACATGACACTTAAAACATACTTTCTTCTAATTTCTTTGGTTTTCTTTTAAGTTTATTTATTTTGAGAGAGAGAAAGAGAAAGAGACAGAGAACACAAGTGAAGGAAGGGCAGAGAGAGTGGGAGAGAGAGGATCCCAAGCAGGCTCTGTGCCATCAGTGCAAAGCCTGACTTGGGGCTTGATCCCACAAACCATAAGATGGTGACCTGAGCTGAAATCAAGAGTTGGATGCTTTACTGACTGAGCCACCCAGGTGTCCCTAATCTCTTTGTTTTTTCCTTTTTCTGGCACATTACTAGTATCTGCATCTCCATGCAATTCTCCCTCAGTGGTATGCCTTCATTTTAAACTTAAAAATTAGTCCATACTTCTTATTTTAAAAATAGTTTAATTCCATTATAGTTTAAAGCATAAGAAGTATTTCAATGTGGTTACCAATTATGATTCACATATGTATCCCTGTAAGTGGTACATTCTATATAAAAGGTTAAAGTAAACACCTTTCAATGTTAAATTAGTACATAGGAAGTTACTGAATTATTGAATTTACTCAATCTTCTGATCCTAACTAGAGTGATAATGTGTTTATGTGTAATACTGGAGATGACTCATGTACTCAAGCCAGGAAGTACAGTGCAGCAATATGTACGAGTTGCAACAGCTTAAGTGAAATGTAGTCCTAAAGACTACATCTAAAGAATATAATTGAATGGAATGGAAAAATATTTTACACTATTTTAATTTTAAAATAAAATTTAGGGGCACTTGGATGGCTCAGTTGGTTAAGTGTCCAACTCTTGACTTCCACTCAGGTCATACTCTCATGGATTGTGAGACTGAGCCCTGCATTGGGCTCTGCACTGACAGTGCAAAGCCTGCTTGGGATTCTCTGCCTCTTTTTCTATCTCAAAATAAATAAACAAACATTTTAAAACATTAAAAATTTTTAAAAATATTTAAAGAACACATGATAAGAAAGCTGAAAAGCAGCCTAGTTATTCTGGAGAAGACACCAAACATTTAAGAATAGGTAATATTTGGGGCACCTGGGTGGCTCAGTCGGTTGGGCATCCGACTTCGGCTCAGGTCATGATCTCACGGTTTGTGGGTTGGAGTCCCATGTCAGGCTCTGTGCTGACAGCTCAGAGCCTGGAGCCTGTTTCGGATTCTGTGTCTCCCTCTCTCTGTGGCGCTCCCCTACTTACTTGCACTCTTTCTCTCTCTCTCTCTCAAAAATAAATTTAAAAATTAAAAAAAAAAGAATAAGTAATATTTCTGAAAATGGGTGTAAAGGTACAAATAAAAACAGAAGGAACAAGTGAATATTCATTTAAGGAATATTTAGAGCCCTCCCCCCAAACCTTCCTTGTCTCAGCTTGATAGATGGCTTTCATGTCTATTCTCACCCTAGCAGAAGTCTGGGGTTTTATTCTCTGGAGAGGTCCCTGAACTATAAGATACCAGGCATATACCCTAATCCTAGCCTCAACCCATACCCCTATCCCTACTCCTAACCCTCTGGAGAGGTCTCTGTACTGCAGGATACCAGGCATAGACCCTCACCCTGGCATATACCTTAACCCTAACCCTAGATCGGGGGAGGGGGGGGAGAAGATGTGGTACACACACACACACACACACACACACTGGAATATAACTCAGCCATAGAAAAAGAATAAGGGGGCACCTGGGTGGCTCAGTTGGTTTAGTGTCAGACTCTTGATTGTGGCTCAGGATCTTAGGGTAGTGGTGGGATCGGGCTCTGTGTCAGGCTCTGTGCTGAGTGTGGTGCTGCTTGGTCTCTCTCCCTCTCTCTCTGCTCTCAATCTCTCTCTCTCTCTCTCTCTCTCTCAATAAATAAACATTTTTAAAATATCTATATAAAAAAATGAAATCTTGCCATTTGCAATGACATGGATAGAGCCAGAGAGACAGTATAATCCTAAGTGAAATAAGTCAGTCAGAGAAAGACAAATACCATATGATTTCACTCATATGTAGAATTTAAGAAACAAACAAGGAAAGGGAAAAAAGAGAGAGGCAACCCAAGAAACTGACTCTTAACTATAGAGAACAAATTGATGGTTACCAGAGGGGAGGTGGTGGGGGAATGGGTGAAATAGGTGATGGGGATTAAGGAGTGGCCTTGTCATGATGAGTACCAAGTGTTGTGTGGAAATGTTGAACCCTATATTGTACACCTGAAACTAATATTACACTGTATGTTATCTAATGAATTTAAATAAAAACTTAAAAATTAAATTAAATAAAAAAATTAAAACAGTATGGAGTTTCCTCAAAAATAAAAAATAGTTACTACATGATCCAGTAGTTCCACTACTGAATATTTACCCAAAGAAAATGAAAACACTAATTTGAAAAAAATATATGCACTCTTATTTATTGCAGCATTATTTACAATAGTCAAGATATGAAGGCAACTCAAGAATCTATCAACTGATGAATGATAAAGATGTGACATATGTACAATGAAATAGTGCTCAGTCATGAAAAAGAATGAAATCTTGCCATATGTAACACCATGGATTTATCTACAGGGTATAATTCTAAGTGAAATAAGTCAGTTAGAGAAAGATAACATATAATGTCACTAATATGTGAAATTTAAGAAACAAATGAACAAAGAGAAAAAGGGACTAACCAAAATCAAAACCAACAAACAAAAACACCCGACTGTTAACTCTAGAGAACAAACTGATAGTTATCAGAGGGGAGGTCAGTGGAGGAATGGATGAAATAAAGGGGACGAAGAGTACACTTATTATGATGAGCACTGAGAAATGTATAGAATTGTTGAATCATATTGTACACCTATAAGTAATATAACAATGCATGTTAATTATATGTGAAGAAAAATCAATCAATCAATCATTTATGGTGAGAAGCACATGCACAATATAAAAACTAACAACCCAGGTTCTCAGTTGCACTAGCCCTTCAAGTGCGCAGCAGCCACATGTGGCTAGTGGCTGCCATGCTGGATAGCATAGATCTAGAGAAACGTAAATTTAA